TAATTTCTTGAGGGATGGATGACAGGATTTTGTTACCTGGACTCTACCTAAGTGATCTACCAGGCAGACCCCATGTAATTCCCCATCCCAAGTCTTTCTCACCAAACACAAAGGACTGGAAAGGTTAGTAGGTTTTACCAGAGGACTAAAAGCAGGAAGGCATCTAAGAGGCAGAGAAAAATCCATTGCTTTTAATAAGCCTAACTGCATTAAAGTTAGAGGAAAACAGATTTGTAGAAACATATGGCTTTTAGTTAAATGGGCTCTCTAGGTCTTGATTTCTTAAGAGACTTGGGTCTAAGGATCTTGGACGCTATCAAAACAGGAAGGCTATCCTATCATTTAGCACCCTCTCAGAGGTCAGAACTAGCTCACAGAGCCTTTGAAAATACACTGTAAACCTGGAGTGAAATAATCTCCCTCAACCCCACATTTTCCTCCGGCTTTCTTCAGCATTCTTTTTTCTTCTCCCTACCTTCCAACTACTGGCTTCTGAAAATGATAAATTGATAGCTTTGCTTCTTCAACATTCTCATCTAAAAATAAATATATTTTTTAGCCCTAACCGGTTGGCTCAGTGGATAGAGTGTTGGCCTGTGGACTGAAGGGTCTCAGCGGTCAAGGGCATGAACCTTGGTTGTGGGCACATCCCCAGTAGGAGGTGTGCAGGAGGCAGCTGATGGATGTTTCTCTCTCATCGATGATTCTAACTCTCTATCCCTCTCCCTTTCTTTCTGTAAAGTCAATAAAATATTATATATATATATATTTATATATGCACATATATCTATTATTGATTCTAGAGAGGAAGGGAGAGGGAGGATCCTTTCAAATTGAAATGGCCCAGGACCAGAGAGCAAGTAAACCTAGAGTTTTGCTACCCCACCTCTGGCTCCAAAATGGTATGTCCTCTCCAAAAGGAAGTCACTGCCTCTACTGTATCAACCTCATACTAAATATGTGTTAATTCACATATTTAGTAAAAAAGTAAAAAGTCCAACTGAATAATCTCATATTGAAACAGGACTAAGATCAATGTGTTTTAAGCTCAAGGGTTGTCATAACAGTTAATCCTATTTCCCCAGCCATCTATGACAAGTATTTATGAAAAGTCAATTTCATCGGTTAATTAGACAGTTCTTGAAAATTACTCGTACTTCCTCCAGTCTTGCCATTCTTTTTGAGACACATATTTAAAAATAACAGTTCAGGGGAAATAAGGTCACTTAGATTTTAAAACAATTCTCAAAATTATACTTAGTATGGAGGCCATGATTTTAAAATAAGATTTTTATCATGCCTTCTCCCCAGCATAAAATATTGTTATTTGAGATGTTGGTAAACATTCACAATATCACAAATGAAATAAGTAAGAAAAAAATTGAAATCTGCATTAACAAAACGATTTGTACATGCTAAAATCTAGGAATACCCTTAAATGCTCAAGCACTCATTCAGAAAAATCAATATAACCCTTACCCCACACCAAATCTACGGATTTTGAGTTCCACTCTTACCTTTTGATTTGTAGTTAATTCTGTGAAAATGTGTAGTAAAAATGTCTATACATCCATCTACTGACCCAGATTCCCTGGTTTGGTAGCTCTATGTGTTAATTCACATATTTAGCCACAGGCACATTTACATAGGTATGCACACACATACTCATTTATAATATACAGGATACATAACACACAGTTTTATCTATACACATGCTAATTAATATGTTTTCTAGGAAACATGTCCATTTTATATTTTTTTCTGTTTTATAATTTCTCTCTCTCTTCCAAGTCCTGGATGGGAAAAACTCAAAGCACCGAGATATGTAATAAGTTTCTCAGGATCACGGAATAAAGAAATGGAGGTTTTGAACCAGGCAGCCAGCAGTCTCCCTAGGGCTCTCCCGAGGGCCGTCTGGAGGTATTTGAAATAATGAGGGGGAGCCTTGGGCACACCTGAACCCACCAGTACCCCCTGCCTCTGCAGCTTTTGCTTCTTTAAGGAGATTATTGTATAATTTCCTCTCATCATTTCACCTAACCCCCGCTATTGGCCCCTACCATTAGTCAGTCTCTCCAGCTATCCAGTCCTTATATTAGGCCCTCTGTAAAATGAAGGGATCGGACAAGATTTATCTTTGCAAGAAACCTCCAGCTCAAACAATCTGGGATTTTCAGGGGTACTTCTCAGGACCAGGGGACAATGGGGAGAACTTGGCAGAACCCCTATAGGCTATAGGTTGCACTTTTTATTCCCTTGAATTTGACCTAGAAGAGTTTCCAGATGGGAGATACTTTACTAATGTTTATATTTGCGAAGTAAGGTGAAATCTATATAGCTAGAAATAAGCTGGTCATTTATATAAGACTTATAAGAACAATGGTTTCATTGTGAATGGATGCCTATGGGTAGGAACCTAAAGCTAGAACACTTAACAAAATATCATCTCTTTAGAAGTTAACCTTGTAAGTGCTTACTGAAGAAAGTACGCCATAATTTTCAAAACTGAATTCTAAAATAAAGACAATTACCCACATGATATTTCTTTTTCTCTCTCCTACAGTCTCACACATGCACAATAGAAAATTAACCAAATCAGCATTACCAGCAAAGGCAGACCATCCCAAGTGGCAGGCCACAGGAGAGTGCTTGTTTCAAATGCTCTGCTAGAGTAGAGAAAGGTTTGCTTTACTTTGTTTTATAGTTCATGGACTAGTTGATTCAAACCAACTTATAAAGTTTCATTAAATCTGAATGAATGAGTTTCTCCCGCTCCCCTGGAATAATCATAGGCTCTTCCAGAAGGAGAAGTGACAGGAGTAGAAGCTGCTCCTCAGCCCAAGGCTGTGAGATGCACTCACAGAGAGAGTGGGCCCAGCCTTGGGCTCTGCCAGCATCCATGCATCTACATTGTCCGTTTCAACAGAAGTCAAACCAATCACACTAATAGCAAGGATGGATGGATGAAGGATACACCACTCCAAATTTGTGTTCTTCACTAGCCTCTAAAGCAAGTGGATCTACTAAAATCTATTCTTCTTGAGGGTCCATCTCCAGAAATAACAGAGAAGGGGAAAGAATTATTAAAAAAACCTTTCAAGGCTACTCAACCATCTGTTTTATCCTTAAAAGACAGCAAAGCTCAACCGTAAGAAGTTAAAGCAAAAAGCAAACAAAGTAAAAAACACAGCACACTCGGTTAGCAGAAATGTCTCCCAAAGCACCTCCATTTTAGGTATGACAATTTAATGAAAGAATTTAGCACATTCTATTCGCTTCTAAGGAGCCAAAAGCCATTTATTGATTCTTTCCTTTCAGCTTATTCCTGCAGATAAATATCTCTCCAAATATAAATCCTGTTTGCTGACATCTTCCTCTAAAGAACATACCTCTGCCCTAGCACATGAAATCAATTTGAATGCAGTCATCTCACCTCCCTTTCACTCTTTCGGGTTATAGTGAAACAAACAAAGTGTCATAAAAGCATTTCAACGCGCCTCTGCCAAGAAAGCCACCTCCCAAACAGACTGCAATTTATGCTGCTCTGAGCAAGAACTGGAAAGGCTGGGCCAAGTTGTCAACACAGAACAGAGTGGGATTACAAATCCTGCCTTTTATCTTATGTATGCATCCATGCACACACACACACACACACACACACCACTTTGGGTTATCTTTATTTAGTCTTTCAGTGGCAAGTTTCCCAATCACTTACAAGCCATCAAAGGGCAAAAATTAACATCATTTACTTTCCTAAGAAAATATTCACAGCAAGCTGTGACAAAGCTAAGGTAACCATGCATCTGTGGGGTATAGTCTATCCCCTTTTAAAGTCTCATGGCATTATGCCTTGAATATGAGACCTATCATTAAAGAATGTTTAGCCGGTGCTTCTGATCTTTCATTGAATGATTTAGAACACCCAGATTTTACTGAGACTCAAAGACACCCTCGCTCCCAAAGCATTTTCTCTCTCTCTTTATGTCATTCATTTTCTCTCTTCCCCTCTCTCTCTAAAACAAAGCTGGGAAGAATTTGTTGGTACAAAATGAGAAATCGAATCCTTGCCTGGCTCAGGTGCTTGCTATTATAAACTATGACTAAGAGACATGAATTTCTCTATGATGCAACTCTCAAGAGAGGCAGCATTTTCTCCAGGCCTCTCTCAAACCTGCTCATTCGCCAGTGACTAATGCTCTCTAGAGCTGCCCTGTGCTGCTCAAATTTCATCAGCCAGCTTTGTCCTTGATAGCTCTGCCTGGGCCATAAAAGCTCCCCAAACCTGTTGAGGACAGCTCTGAAAGATCAGTGCAAAGCTAACCACACCCCAGGCGGCCTGGAGAGCTGTCTTTTGAGCTGGCCACCTTATTTGTTATCTCAATGACATGATCACTTAACGACCATTTTTAAAGTAGCTTTACTCTTCTCTGAGTGATAAAGTACTGACAACACGTGAATATTAGGAGTAATTCAGGTCACCCTGTACCACCCCTTTTCAGCTTAGAAGTAGAAACAAAATTGACAACATGTTAGGTGAGGCCACAATTAACTGAACCGTCCATTAACTATTTTCTGCACCTTTAAAAGAAAATAAAATGCCAGGCTCATGATTTGCATCAAGGACTTAATTCATAAAACAAACCAAAAACACTGTAAGATAATGTCTGGTTAATGGATGTTTAGTCCAACATCTTATATACAATGTCAATTAATTTATAATCTTGAGCTTGAAGCCTTGCAATATTCTTACGGGAAAGAAATTTAGGGTTAAATTATGTTCAGTAAATCTTACCTGTAATAGAATAAAAGTACTTTAGAAATAATTTCAATAAAGAATGAAACAAATGTTTTGGGGGTTAACTTTGTGTTATCAAAAGAAACAAAACGCATTCCACTGTCCAAACATGCTGACTATATATCTGAAAAAAGCAATCTAGACATGGATAATCCAAGACCAAACAATTTCAGAACAAATCAGCCAGCACCAGAAAGGTACTTACAGTTATCAGACTGAAAATCTGGGACAAACTGTTCATCATCAGGAACTTGTGCTGAAAAAGAGATTTTTATTTTAGACCTTTACGTTTTATTAAAAAGCACAGTGAAATGTTTTATATGGAAAATAGGACAGCCAAGAAACTTGCCTTCAGCTAACCAAGCCTCTTGAAGTTGACTGAGATCCTGAAACAACTCTAGAATTAAAAACAGAAGACACCAGAATGAAGATTCCTCTGTTGGGGAGAAGGGAAGAATCTACTTTATAAAATCTGCGGCTTTCCCTGGGAGCCATTTGAGGAAGCCACAACACAGAGGGGAAAGCTTCGCTACCTTCGGAATCATGGGCCAAATCTGTGTCCAAAAACTTCCTCTTTCTGTCAGTCACAGGCCGCCCTCTACATTCCTCAGATCTAGATTTCTGAAAAAGGCAAACAAACGGTGAAGACTCAGGTGTAAAAAAGGGGTCTTGAAAGGGGGTGGTATTACTAAATCAATAAGGAGAAGACTGGGATTTGAAGAGGGAGGACAAAACAAATCAAAAGCCACATAAACTTACCCCTGGGACCATAAAAGGGACTTGCTGGTCATAAAACCCATCCATGGTGCTTCCAACGTCTCTACTATCACTTGGAAAGGTTTCAGCATTGAGTAATTTCTGGGGGGAAAGGGAGTCCTCCTGTAATATGAATTTGGGAGATTTTTACTGAGGGGGGGGGAAGAAGCAAAATGAAATAATTTTATTCCATTCTTTCTTTAGGGCCTATGTAAACCACTACCTTTCTTTGAGGTACGTGAAGCGCACTCAAGGTGTTAGCTTTACAGACTAACGCTGGGTTTAAGGGCATCAAAGGTACACAGTGTACTTAGTGCCAAATCCATTTACTCATCCTTTTCTATCATTAGAGTATAGGTTTGCTATCATCTTTCCTTTGTTTTTTAAAAAAGGAGGGGGCACCTTATTTTCATTATAAAAAGGTGATTTCAAGTTCTCTTCAATAGAAGATTCTCTAAGGCAATTGTAGTGTTGGGATTGTTATATATATCATCTAATTTTTCTACTACAGTGACAGGAAGTAGAAAACTGGGTTTAAGCATTCCAAATTATTGGCAATTAAGAATCTGACATACATAGAGTTTCTAAAAGTATTTTGTAGGTCAGTGGCAAAACACTATATATAGTTCCATGAATATATCCACCAAAGGTATACTTATCTTCACATTGCTCTTCACTAAAACCTAAACCTTCTGTCCAAACAGGTGTGTGTCTGTAATGTCACAAATAATCTCCATGGCAACTTACAGAGACACCTCCAACTTCTAAAATAATAAAATAACTATGAAGAGTAATGGATAAAGGAAACTGAATTCCATTGTACATATTTTAAATGCATATCTACCACAGAACTTTTTTGAAAGTATCAAAAGCAAAAGATCCATGAAAAGAAAATTCAATATTTTCCTTACACTGATGTTCATTCTCCACTCCTCCCCAACATGCCAAATTATAAAATTAAACTTGTTTCAGTACTGTCAAGTCTTGGGGCTGGAAAGAGAAATTGGGGGTTAAAATGGAGAGGGGGGAACCTTTTCTAATTTGGGAGGAATAAAACAACAATCTTAGGAAGGTACCATCTTCCTGAACAATTTGTTTTATTCTCCAAATAAGGAAACACAGTTAAGTCAACAAAATGGGGAAAACAATTTCACCCACTCGAACTTGAAACAATGTAAAATGCTTAAGGATAATTCTTTTGTTTAACTTGCATATAAACTTTAAGCAGGGAACTTTTTTCTCAGTGGACAATTCCATCCAATTTGTTTTTCACACTGTGTGGAGCATATCAAATTTTGGTGAGCAGGATGCAAGGAAACCCTTCACGGCCAGCCTCCTCCCAGCACTCTGGCACAAGTAATCAGATATGTAGTTCAGTTTCCTACAAAAAACACTCCTGCTAGCCTGTTTGCGTGCCTTCCAAATATCGCTAAAATGTTCAGAATAAAGACCCTTTCTCAAATGTCACCAACGCGTACACAAAATCTGAGAATCACCAGCACTGAGTTGAGGGGCATGAAAATGAGTCTTCTGTGCCCTTCAAAAACCTGTCCGATTAAATCCTGGCCTTCGAAGTTCTGTAAATGTCTATTGAGGGAAGGGGACAACGGGTAGGAGATCGGAGGGAGAAACCGGAGGGGGAGATATATTCAGTTTCATGATAAAATACATTGCAAAATACTTCACCATGACGAGCAAATATATTTTTTTTTAAAAAAACTGAATAAAAGAAAGAAGGATGCCACACGCGAATCCAAGAGGCATTGAGGATCTTTAAAGCAGTCCTCGCAGTTCAAGGGCTAGAGAAATCGTGTTCAAAGTATATATATGTATATATTTAAACCTGAAGGGAAGGCTGAGTTCATCCAGGAGTTTAAACTACTTCCTT